TTTTTTTTTTTTCTTTACATCTCTGTTGTTTTGTATCATCTGTCATTTGGAGCTAAACCAATTCCTAACTGCTCTGTACCCCTAAATTCAAAGGTGTGTGTGTTCACGGGTGTGTTTTGGTGGAACTAGGCTTCTTGAAGTTAGGCCCAAAACTAGACATGGGTATTTTGAAGAAGTAGGGATAAGGAAAGATTTCTCTACCAGACTGTAGTAATTAAAGGAGTGTAGTATCGGCACAAGTTGAGCAGATAGTTCACAGAAACGGAGATAGGCACAGTGTCTACCTGTTGGTCTCTGGGGACATCTCAGGTAGGGCCTAGTGCACAGTCATTTCTTATAAATGTGTATAATGGAAAAGAATGTGTATTCTCTCAAGTGAAGTCTCTCTATATGTCCATTTAGACTAACTTGTTATTTATGGCATTATTTTTTGTCTGCTTGATCCATCAATTACTGAGTTACATACTGTAAACTAAAGATAAATCTGGATGTTTCCACTTCTCTTGTAATTCTAATAACTTTTGCTTTCTATATTTTAATGCTGTCATGTTATATATAATATAATATTGATATGTTCTAGCAATTTTATCCCTAATAATGCCTTTTTGCCCTTGAGGTCTATTTATTTGACATGTATATAGCAATATTCGCTTTCTTTGATTAGCATTTCTATCTCTTTACACCAAACTTGTCCACATCTTTATACGAGTAGGTTTGTTTGTTGGGGGGAGGGAGATGGGAGTGGCTTCTATTTTCCTTTTGTCCAAATCTACCCCTTTTTTGCCATAATACCTTGTTCCTTTCATTTTTCAAGTCCTCTTTTTATATCTTACTCTTTTCACAGTTTAAAATCATTTTCAGATTGTTCTGTATTTACAGCCTTGGGGATGCGATCATGCTATTTGTTGTGATGCTTCCTCATTGATTTTATATTTTTGGATTCTGAGTTCTTCCCTGCAGGAACTTTACTGATAAATCCCACCTGATGCCGGGATTAGAGAGCATCTCTATAGGGTAATTTTGCATTTGCTTTTGCCTGGCTCCTTACATCCATCATCTCCATCCCAGAATCAGTCTTTATGTAACTTTTTGATGGGTTCTGAGGCCACATGTGTAGTATAACTTGAACCCCAAATTTGCCTGCAGTTCTCAGTCTCAGACAGGACCAGGATCCTACTCCTTCCCTGGTAAAGGTAGGCTTTTGGTTTGGTTTTTCTCATCTTCTCTTTCAGTGAGGGTTCTACCAATTGAAAGTTATATCTTTAGGCAGATAATTGATCTCAAAATTACTGCCTGTTTCAGACCCAAGGCCTTATCTCCTGAACTCAATAGGTGGTAGAACCCAAGTGGTTCTGGGTTAGCAGGAACTGGGTTCACCCTTCAGGCCACCCATGGCACCTCGCTTGCTGCTCTGGTTTCAGTGCCCACTTATTCCTGGTACCCTGGAGACTTCCTTTTCTTATGTTCAGCTATGCATGTAAGATATTTTAAAATATTTTATCAAGTATTGTTACATCTTTATAGTAGGACAATTTTCAGGTTATCTTAGTCTATAATTTTGTCCAGAACAGAATCTAGAATAGAGATTTAAATTAATACATTCAGAGATTAGCACAAAGCTAGGCACAAAACATGGATTTTGTTAAAAGCCTCATGTGACACATCTGTCTTCATGTAGTGACTATTTTTCACAGATGACATAGACTAAGCAAGGAATGGTATGGTCGTCTTCAAGTATTAGAGCCACCCTCAAAAGATGGCTGCTAGTCCTAACTTCTGAACTTTTTGCCCTATTTCTAAGATTTCCCTTTACATTCTCCAGCCTGTCACTGAACCAAGGTTTTATCACACCTGTAGTCTCCCTCATGATGGACCCTTGCACAGAATTTACTTAAATAAAAGAAAGGGCAGATGAGGGAGGAGGAGCATTTTTTTCTTTTTTTTTTTTTTTTTATTGAATGGTAACTATGTACATTAATGTACTTCTAGCATTTTTTTTTCTTAAATAGAGTCCTACTTTGCCACCTTTGGTAGAGTGCTGTGGCATCATAGCTCACAGCAACCTCAAACTCCAGGGCTCAAGCAATTCTCTTGCCTCAGCCTCCCAAGTAGCTGGGACTGCAGGCTATAGGTGCCTGCCACACCTGGCTATTTTTAGGGACAAGGTCTCACTCTGGTTCAGGCTGGTCTTGTGAGCTCAGGCAGTCCACCCGCATTGGCCACCCAAGAGCTGGAATTACAGGCATGAGTAACTATGTCTGGCCCTAGGAGGAGCATTTTTATTAAAGAGCTACTGAGGAAAATTCTAGCACTCTGGTTGCCTACAGTGAATTAAACTTTCCATGGCTTCTCTCCTACAAAGGACCCTGCAAAGCCCTGAGCTTCTAAGGGTCAGCCAGAGTTGGGCAGTATCAATGAGAACAGTGGGGCTGACATTAGGAATGTCCGAGCACGTCTTCCACTGCCTTCCCGAGCCAAATTGCATAAACAACTCCCCATTACCACTTTTCTGTGCACTTACTGCAGGCTGCCAATTTTATCCTGTTGATTGCAAGATGTCATGATACTTTAGAATTTGAATTGCTTGCCTAGAGCAGATCAATGTGACAGTTCACTTCCCAGTCAAGAGAAAGATGAGATGAGACTGCATGGAGAGAAAGCTCTTCCAAGCATTATGATGGTTCTGCTCCTTCTGTGTCTGATAATCACATGTTGGTCTCTTTTAGGGAGGAATGATCAATTGGAACCGTCTTTTCCCTCCTTTACGTCAGCGACGAAATATAAACTATCAGGATGGTCGGAGGTCTGAACAAGCTGCTTCCCCTCCTCCAGAGGTTTCTGAAGAACAGGTAATCAGTAACACCCAGGGCTTATCTTAAAGCCATGCCTCAAACTTCCAGCAGTTTTAGACTTGAATGTAATCAAGCACGTAAATACAAAGATTTTGATAACAGTTAACTGCCACCAATGGTAGAGACTTTGGGTTTTTATTGGCTACTGTGGGTCTTAGGAGTTTGAGGAAGGCATGATTTGAAAACAAAATGCAGTGGGGGCTTATTTTAAAATATGTTATACTTAATATATACTGTGTGAGAAACTAATGAAATTGTTCCCTACAAAAGAGGCGGGGCTCTTCGGAGTGCACCTGTTGTGGGGTTTTGCGTCATGTTAATGTTTTACATATTCAGAAAGGACAGGGACAAATGTAAAACTGAAAAGGAATAATCACTGATCCAGCTCTATTTCAAAGGACTGATATAATCACATCAAAGAGGGGAAAACTAATTTCAGTAGCTTTTGAACATGAAAGAAAAAAAGAACTGTAAACAAATTATCAGCTCTTCTTCGTAGGTTTATTTGTCATAATGGTATGAGTGCACCAATTGTAAAATTGTGTTGTAGGTTTTAGCAAATGAGGAAATTGGTTGATCTTACTGTAGAAAAAGGGAAATAAAAATATGGGACCAGGGAAGGCAAGGAAGAACTCTGAGGTTGGAAAGGAATTCTCAGTATCAGGATAAACTCATGATTGGATGAGTGTGTGTGTGTACACATGGAAATTCTCACCCTGACTAGAAAGTCTCAGAGGTATTGGCATCCCCATAGCAGTGAGCAGATCTAGTACCCAGATCTAGTATTGAACACTTTCCCCACTGAAAGGAACCGGGTCTCTTTAGAGAAATGGTGGGGCCTAGTCCCAGGGTAGAAGAGATAGAATACTCTGGAACATCTTGTACCAGGAAGTAAAGAAATACACAGAAGTTGATGGGGCATATCAGAATGACATTGGAGCCAGCTGAGAGGTCTCAGTGGCCACATCTTGGATATCAGCTTGGAGCATCAAAACAAATAAGGACAGTAGTATAATACAGCTCATGGGGCAGGGAGAGAGATAGATATTTACAGTACATGCATAGGGGAAAGAAGTATGTTTCCTATGTAGAATGTCAAGTAACAGATATACAAAGAATGGTGGCATTAGAAAATCACGATTTTGCACCCATCATGGTAGAAATCAATTCAGGGAAGAATCATCAGTATATGAAGACTGGCTATTTCTATACAGAAGTCCTAACTTATCATGGTTTGTCTTTCAACTTTACAATGGTGCTAAAGCCATACACATTCAGTAGAAGCCAGGCTTAGATTTTTAATTTTGGTCTTTTCCTGGGCTAGCAGTCTGTGATAATGATGCTTTTATGATGCTGGGCAGCTGCAACAAGCTATTGTTTTTCCCCTTCAGTATAGTGTCATTCATGTGATAAATTACATTTGACATTCAATACTTTATTAATTGAAGGCTAATGTGAGTTTTCTGAGCACATATAAGGTAGGCCAGGCTAAGCTGTAATGTTCTGTAGGTTAGATGTATTAAATGCATTTTTGACTTAGAGTATTCTCAACTTACAATGTGTTTGTTAGGATGTAACGTAACAAAGCCATCCTAAGTTGAAGAACATCTGTGCTCTCAATTATCTTCCCACAAGTTACTTACTAATTGCAAAAATAAAATAGTAACTCTGAAGAGGAGAAATTGGATGCCACCCAACCAGGTTATCACAATTAACAATCTGATATGGAACAAGCAGTCATTGTGTCATAACCTGAGAAAGATGAATCAGTTATGTGTTACAGTCAACATGCAGATGATCATAAAGGAAAATCCCACAAATCCAATTTGAGGAATATTCTATAGAATACCTGCCTTTAATGCTTCAAAAATACCAACATCCCAAACTTACAGATTAAAGGAGATGAGGGAGGCATGCCACTGACAGGTAATACATGACCCTGGACTGGAGTCTGCACTGCAAACATAGCTTTTTGGTGAAAGACCATTTTGAGTTCAATTGATTTAATTGGAAATATAGGTTAGACATTAGTACTATGTTATTGTAAATTTCCAGGATTTGGTGTAGACTGATTGATTGTGGTTAGGAAAGAGAATACTCTTGTTCTAATAGATACAGACTGAAGTATTAAGGGAAAAAGTGACATGATTTGTGCAGCCACCCAGTATGGCTCAAGACAATCCGTGTGTGTGTGTGTGTGTGTGTGTGTGTGTGTAAAGAGAGGAAGCAACCATGGCAAAATTGGTGAATTTGGGCAAAGTAGAAGCAGAGGTTCTTGGTACTGTTCTTGAATTTTTCTAAGTTTAAAATTATTTCAAACTAAAAAGTTGAAAACATAATCTATAAAAATAAGCTTAGAGCATTGCCATAATGATGCTTTGAAATTTCCTTCTGCCTGTAGTGGTTTCTTCTTGGAAAATGAAACAAGATGAGGTCAGCATTTCACTGTTGGTCACACCATCCAGGCCATCACCTCCCGATCCCTTGTCCCCAGAGTAAACAACACCAGTCAGACAGACTCAAGGCACCCAATCTCTGGCAAAACTTGTCTTGACTTTTTCTGGAACTCAGAAGGTGCCCCTGAGCAGGGCACCAACTGGCTGTGCTAGATGAACTGGTCCCACCCCTCCCCTGCGGCTTCTTGACTTAGACTGATGGATCGTTTCTGCAGCCCTTTAGTATCCTCAGGTGATTTGCGACCATCTGCCTTATCCACCTCATTAGAGAGTTCCAAGACAAATGTTAGCCCTGTGGATAAGAAGATAAAGCCCAGTAACTCAGCATTTGCAGATCTTTATGGATTACCTCTCTCAGATTGAGGTGAGAGGAAATAGCAGAATTCTTTAATATTACTGTTTACTTTGTATGACAGTGAGTCACCTTCCTCACAAGGCAGCCGTTAACGGTACAGTATGAGGTATTTCAAGGTGAGATAACTGTTAGTTTGGCACTTGAACAAAAGAAAGTGTCAAAAAAGAAGGTCACTTAGAATGTGTGTGATTAAAGTCTTCAGGGGGGTTTTTAGGTGAATCATTTTTCCTTGATCCTCCTAGAATGACAACAGTGAGGTTAACATATCATCAATATCAGTTTAAAACAGCATTTAATTCTTCCTTGCTCTGTGTTCTAAGAGGTTGTTTTTAACGTAAGCTTTCTTATTCACTGATTTTCTAAATCTTATTTTCTGTGTCCCTATATTATCACAAAAATGACAGTTGCAGACATCATTGCTTTAAAGACACAAGGTTCTCACTGGCAATATGTATTCTTCAGGATCTTGGTGTTTCTTGTGGTAGGTGCTATAGAGACTGTAAAAGATAAAAAAGGTGTTCTTGTCTTCAAGATGTTTACAAAAGTTTAGAACTTTTTTTTTTTTTTTGAGACAGAGCCTCAAGCTGTCCCCCTGGGTAGAGTGCCGTGGCATCACAGCTCAAAACAACTTCCAACTCCTGGGCTCAGGCGAGTCTCCTGCCTCAGCCTCCCAAGTAGCTGGGACCACAGGTGCCCACCACAACGCCCGGCTATTTTTTGGTTGCAGCTGTCATTGTTGCTTGGCGGGCCCAGGCTGGGGATTCGAACCCACCACCTTAGGTGTATGTGGCTGGTGCCTTAGCCACTTGAGCCACAGGCTCCGAGCCAAAAGTTTAGAAATTTTTAGTTCACATATGATCTCTTGGTTACTACTTGTTAATAATATGTTAAAATAGCCTAAATTAGTCAAATTCTTTTAGGCTTAATTTTTGAATTGAATATGTTTATATTTTCTTCATTTAAATATCACAGTTGTAATAAAATGTGGTATGCACATTCTATGGAGTACTACTCAGCCATAAAAAATGGTGATCTAGTGTCTTTTGTGACAAGCTGGATAGAACTAGAAACCATTCTTCTAAGTGAAACATCCCAAGAATGGAGAAATAGCAAACTGGAACTAGTAAGTCAACACTTAAGTGCACTCGTGGAAAGAAATCTCAATGACAGTCGAGCAGTGGAGAGGAAGGGTAGGTGAATTGACACCTGCCGGTTACAGTGCTGTACACTGTCTGGGTGAAGGGCACACTTGCAACTTGACTCAGCCTGTACCAAAACAAAGTAGGTAAATAAAACATGTATACCCCCTAAGATTCTGAAATTATAAATAAATAAATTTCAGAGTTCTGTAAATTTAGTACATTAAGAAGCTTAGTGATTTTCTTTTTCCTTATTTCTTTTTTTTGGAGACAGAGTGTCACTTTGTAACCCTGGGTACAGTGCTGTAGTGTCATCACTTGACAAACTCACACCTCAAACTCTTGGGCTTCAGTGATCCTCTTGCCTCAGCCTTCCAAGTAGCTGGGACTGTAGGCACCTGTCATAACGCCTGGATATTTTTAGAGATGGTGTCGTGCTCTTGCCAGGCTCGTCTTGAACTCCTCAGCTGAAGGGATCCACCCACCTCAGCCTCCCCAAGTGCTAGGATTACAGGCATGAGCCACTGCACCTGGCCTTGGAAGCTTAGTAATTTTCTAAACCAAGAAATAGAAGTGATTTTTTTCTTCTGTAAACAAACACTTTAGGAATTTTAGTGAGAATTCTTTAAGAAACCCCAGTAGATGGGAAATGTGTACCATATACTTTGAAAACAAAATATTCTGAGAGCGTGTACCCTGTAATAAATCCAGTAATAATTTTACACACAGCGTGGAAGTCTTTTGCCACCTTTTTTACCTTTCTACTTTTGCTGTCTTTGCTGTCACTGAGGTTCTGGATTTTCAGTTCTTCAGAATACGCCCCTATTGTTTGACAATAGACCTGCAGCAGCTTTGCCAGTTCATCACCCCTTGGAGATGCCTTCTCAGCCCCTTTTAAGAACACACCAAAAAGGCAGAAGAGGAGGCAGCTAGCACAAGGCCAGTAAGTGCTGCCTGAACCCACAGCACTCAGGATGGTGAAGGCGACCCCAGAAACCGAAGGGCAAATGTCTGCTTGTGCCTTCCCTGTGCAGACATGTGGGGGAG